GTGACCTAGACTGAATTGCAGTGGCAAGATCACAGCTCACTGCAGCTTTGACCTCCCAGGCTCAATCAACCTTCCCTCGTCGGCCTCCCAAGTAGCTAGCTGGGACTACAGGTGGGCATGGGCACCATTATACCCAGCTGATTGTTTTTTGTGTGTGTTTGTTTGGGTGTTTTTGCAGAGATGAGGTCTCATTATGTTGCCCAAGCTGGTCTCGAACTCCCAGACTCAAGCAATCTTCCCACCTCAGTCTCCCAAAGTGCTGGGATTATAGGCATAAGCCCGCGCACCCAGCCCTAAAACAAGTTATTTTAAAGAGATAACAACTTATCTTAGAATACAAATAAAGAAATAAAAACAAAGGAAACACCAAGCAAAAAATTCTACACTTTAACTCTAACCCTCTCACATTTTGACTTTCAGCTGTCTCGATTTATATATTTTTAAATTATTTATATCTTAAGAAGTTGCTATAGCTATTATTCTTTTTAATAGGTCTTTTGGGCTTCATACTAGAGCTATGAGCATATTGTACAAATACAGTATTACACTATTCTGGGTTTGTCCATGTATTTAATTATATGAATGGGTTTTATACCTTGATAAGTTTTTTGTTTTTTTGCATGTTAGTATTTTTTTTTTTTTCTTTCAGGTTGAAGAACTCCCTTTAGCATTTTTTTTTTTTTTTTTTTTTGAGACAGAGTTTCACTTTATCGCCCAGACTGGAGTGCAGTGGCACAATCTCAGCTCACTGCAACCTCTGCCTCCCATGTTCAAACAATTCTCCTGCCTTAGCTTCCTGAGTAGCTGGGATTACAGGAGCCTGCCATCACATCTGGCTAATTTTTGTATTTTTAATAGAGACATATTTCATCAAGTTGGCCAGGCTGGTCTCAAACTCCTGACCTCAAGTGATCCACCCACTTTGACCTTCAAAGTGCTGTGATTACAGGCATGAGCCACCATGCCCAGCCTCCCTTTAGCATTTCTTGCAAGATGGGTCTGAGGATTGTGAATTCTCTCAGCTTTTGTGTATCTGGGAAAGACTTTAACCCTCCCTCATATTTGAATGACAGTTTTGCTGGATACAGTATTCTTGGATAGCAGTGTTTTTCATTTAGCACTTTGAAAATGTCACTCTCCTCCCTCCTGGCCTGTATGGTTTCCACTGAGATGTCTGTTGCCAGATGAACCGGAACTCCTTTATATGTTATTTGCTTCTTATCTCTCACTGCTTTTAGGATCTTCTCTTTCTCCTTGACTTTTGTTTGATTATTAAATACCTTGTGGTAATCTTATTTGGGTTGAATCTGTTTGATGTTCGCTGACCTTCCTATACCTAGATATTGACCTCCCGATGAAGTTTTGGAAAGTTTTTTGTTATCATTTCTTGGAATACATTTTCTAACCCTTGTTAGCTCCCTATTGAATACCAATAATTCTTAGATTTGGTCTTTTGTGGTTATTTTCTCTGTCTTGTAGGTAGTCTTCATTTTGTTCTTTTTTTCTCCTCTGACTGTATATTTCCTTTCTTTTTTCCTTTTAGAAACAGCATTCGCTCTGTCACCCAGGCTGGAGGGCAATGGCACAATGAGGGCTCACTGCAGCCTTGGCCTTCCAGGCTCAAGTGATCCTACTGCCTCAGCCTCCATTTGCCTCCACATGCCACCATTCTTGGCAAATTTTTTAATTTTCTTTTTTTTTTTTTTTTGAGATGGAGTCTCGCTGTGCTCCCAGGCTGGAGTGCAGTGGCGTGATCTCAGCTCACTGCAAGCTCCGCCTCCCGGGTTCACGCCATTCTCCCGCCTCAGCCTCCCAAGTAGCTGAGACTACAGGCGCCCGCCACCACGCCCGGCTAGTTTTTTGTATTTTTAGTAGAGACGGGGCTTCACCATGTTAGCCAGGACAGTCTCGATCTCCTGACCTCGTGATCCACCCGCCTTGGCCTCCCAAAGTGCTGGGATTACAGGCTTGAGCCACCGCGCCCGGCCTAAATTTTCTTATAGAGATAGGGTCTCCCTATGTTGCTCAGGCTGGCTCAAGAGATCCTCCTTCCTTGGCCTCCCAAATGCTGGAATCACAGGCATGGGTCACTGCACCCAGCCTTGATTGTGTATTTTCAAATAGCCTGTTTTGAGCTCACCAATTCATTCCTCTACTTAATCTACTCTGCTGCTGAGAGCCTATAATGAATTTCTTCAGGTCAGCAAATATGTTTCTCAGTTCCAAGATTTGTTTGATTTTTAAATTATTTCAATCTCTTTGTTAAATTTCTCTGATAAATTTCTGATTTGCTTTTCTGTGTTGTCTTGGAGATCACAGAGTTTCCTTAAAATTGCTCTTCTGAATTCTTAGAGAGCTCACAAATCACTGCCTCATTAGGTCAGTCACTGGATTTTTGCTTTGTCCTTTTGGGGAGGTCATGGTTCCCTGTTTGCTGCTGTTTCTTGTGGGTGTATGTCTGTGTCTTTGCACTGCAGGATTAGTAATTTATTCGTTTTCTCTGTCCAGCTTGTTTTGGTTTTTATTGAATATATTTACTTAGCAAATCTTCACTGCTAGGTTGCTGCCTCCTTTTCAGCTATCGGTGTCACCTTAAGACGAGGTTCACCTTAGCTGTATTTAGTGATTGAGGGAGGCCTGTCCCAAATGAGGGAAGCCTCAAATGGTTTGTCCTGACAGTGTCAGGGTTCGTGTTCAGAAGACCTGTGGAACAAACCTTCTGGAGCATGGTATTGTGAGCGGCCAGTCCGACTGAGTGCCTCCTGTGGCTGAGGTGCAGAGTTTCCAGGGCTGGGGACAGTAGTCCCGCCTCCCAGCTTTGTTTCTGGGTGGCCTCAGGGGTATTTCTCCCTTCGGGCACTCGGGATGCTCTCCATGGGCCAAGGCAGGGACAGGGCACCCAAGAAAGTAGAGAAACTGGTTGTCCACCTCACTTTTACTTTCTCCAGATAGAAACCATGAGTTAAGGGGAGATTTTCCACACACTTGGTGCCAGGCCAAATAAGGGGGAAGGGACATTGTGCATATGGAAGCCGAGTTCTCCTCCCATTTGCTTGGAGCTTTTCTACTCTCTGTGGCCCCAGGAACTGTGTTGTCTTCACACTTGAGCTCTAAGTTCTTACTGGTGAAGATCTTGGTGCTATGTATTTGGTTTTAGTTTTTTGTGGGAAGAGAAGTCATAAAAAGCTCAAGAGCTCTACACTGGAAATCGCCAACAACAAAATTGTTTTTTTTTTTTGAGACGGAGTCTCACTCTGTCACCCAGGCTGGAGTGCAGTGGCCGGATCTCAGCTCACTGCAAGCTCCGCCTCCTGGGTTCACGCCATTCTCCTGCCTCAGCCTCCCGAGTAGCTGGGACTACAGGCGTCCGCCACCTCGCCCGGCTAGTTTTTTGTATTTTTTAGTAGAGACGGGGTTTCACCATGTTAACCAGGATGGTCTCGATCTCCTGACCTCGTGATCCGCCCGTCTCGGCCTCCCAAAGTGCTGGGATTACAGGCGTGAGCCACCGTGCCCAGATAACTTTGTATTTTTAGTAGAGATGAGGCTTCTCCATGTTGGTCAGGCTGGTCTCGAACTCCCAACCTCAGGTGATCCGCCTGCCTCAGCCTCCCAAAGTGCTGGGATTACAGGCGTGAGCCACCGTGCCCAGATAACTTTGTATTTTTAGTAGAGATGAGGCTTCTCCATGTTGGTCAGGCTGGTCTCGAACTCCCAACCTCAGGTGATCCGCCTGCCTCAGCCTCCCAAAGTGCTGGGATTGCAGGCGTGAGCCACCATGCCTGGCCTAATGAGACATTTTACATTCTTTTATTCACACTAATTCTTCAAAATTTGATGTGTATTTCACACCTCCAGCACATCCCAGCCTTGCCTGGCCACATTCTAGGCTCTCAACAGCCACAGGGGGATGTTACTCAGCAGCTAAATGCTGTCTTTGGAAATACAGAGATACATGAAATACCATCTCCACCCTCAACAACCTTACAGTTTATGTGACTGACATATAAACATAATTTATAATGTTTTAAGTACTATAAGAATAGTGTGAATAAGTAACAATCTTTTCCCTCAATCTCAAGTACAGGGAAATTTGTAAATACTAGTGAGAGAAGGAGATATCTGAGCTATAATTTAATGCCTTGACTATTGTATAACTCTTAACTATCACATTTAATCATGTATAAAGTTGTTTAATATTTTGCCTTCTGTCCTATCTTACCCCAACCAACCCATAAACTGACCTTGGAGTCTACAGGACAATTGTGACTAGGGTGAGCTGGGCAGACACCAGGCCCTGGAAGGAAAGAGAGTGAGCAGCTCGCACCCGCACACACACTTCCTGCAGCATGAGTGCAGCGCGGGGACTGCTGCCCTCCCGATGGCCATCCCTGGACTTTCAGGTTAAAGACTCTGAACAATTTATTTCTATTGTGTTAAACAGTAAAAGAACACAGGCAAAAATTCTCACACTAAGAATTTCTTCACATTTTTGACTGTAGCATAGGTTTTGGTATTTGATATTCTTCTGTTAAATTCTAACTAACTTGTAATTGAACCAAATATTACTTGAGAGTTTAATTTCTACATAGGTTTTGTTTTTAAACTTTGTTATTAATTTCATGTTTCTCCTTTCTAAACCACTGACACCCCATAAATGATCGATTAGTGGTCTAGTAAATGATCAACTTTTAAAATTTTCCAGTGGATCAACTGCAAGTGTTATGCTGCTCAAATAGGCAGAGTATCATTAAAAAGAATTGGTAAGCCTAGGCGTCTCTACAAAAAAATATGTATTTTTTCATTAGCCAGGTGTAGTGGCATGCACCTGTGGTCCCAGCTACTTGGGAGGCTGAGGTGGGAGGGTCACTTGAGCCCAGGAGTTCAAGGCTGCAGTAAGCTACGATCACACCACTGCACTCCAGCATAGATGACAGAGCAAGACCCTGTCTCAAAAAAAGAAAAAAAGAATTGGTGCTTTAAAAAACAAACTTTCTTACCAGAAATATTGGTTCTCCAAATGGTGAAAAATCAATGACATTAACTTTTACTGGCCTTATACCACATTGCTGAGGTTTGAATAGTTTGGGAGCCACTCTCAAATCTTGTCTTGTGCCATGGCTTATGAGACCCTGTGAAAAAGAAGCCCAAGAGTGACTAAGAAGTGCATTAGATACAAGATTGGATACAGTTACTGTTCCTCAAACAATTTAAACTTTATAAAAGCAAAGAGTAAGTTAATCCTAAATCAAGATATTTATCAGGTAACTCAGGAAAAGAAGGAAAATGAGTAATAGAATTAAATTTAAAATACTACTCACCATGTCTGTGCCAACAATGAAGTGATTAGGGTCTGAAGGCAGAAATTTAACATTCAGTGTTTGTGTAGTCCCCCAAAATTCATTATCTTTATGGGAAAGACTGAAAAAATAAAGTAACAAAGACGAACAGATGGATTATTTTCAAACTTTAAAAATAAGATGGTATCAGCACTGATTTGCACTACAATACATCATTCGATATATAACAGGCCATGTCACATTCCTCTGGTTTAGCCACTCTTTGTTTCCATTTTTTTCTGCTACTACACTCTTGATAGTTTTTTCAGATTTATCCTTCTGTTCACTAATTCTTTCTTCAGCTATATCTAATCGGCTATGTAACCATTCACTTGGTTGTAAATTTCAGAGATAACAGTTTCATTTCTAGAAATGTCTTTTAGATTGTACAACTGTCTCAAGTTCTTAAGTGTGTGACTCCTACTTTTTGCACCAAGGTACAGTTTCTTCATGCTTGTAGTTGTGAACTCATCTGCAGCAGACTGCTTCTCATGAGAATCCTGTGAGCCCCCACTTGCAAACTATCTTTACCCACCAGGAGGTTTTGTGTCTACTTTAACTATGAACCCACTGAGGCCACTGGTCTAGAACTGTGATGTTAACATCTCAGCTTGTAGGTTGCCATACATACACTCAGCTTAGGACTTCAAGCTCTTCCAAGCTCCTCTGTCTTCTCTTGGCTGTGGGGAGGCTTTCTGAATTTCCCTATCACTGCAGGAGCAGTGAGTTTGAAAGTCCTGTGCAGGGGTCTCAGTTCTACCTCCTTGCCTCAGGCAAACCCAATGCATCACCTGTTTCTGCATGGGCTCAAGCCCCAGGGACAGCTCAGAAGGTCTGAGATAGCCTGGGCTTCACATCCAGCCTCCAAGCAATCACACAGCAGCTCAAAAGCTTATGACACTAACTTTAAGCTCTCTCCTGTTTATGGCATTTAGAGATTTTCCTTTCCTTTTAAAAACTATACTTAGTTTTATTTTTTCCTTTATATGCCCTATTATTTGTAACAGAGAGATGCCCACAATTGCTCCATCTGCCACACCCACATCATCAAAGTCAGCATGTGGCCGTGCTATTAGCCTCCTTTCCAATGCTCTCTTTCTGTCCACATTCAGGACTGCAAATGTCACCTCTTAGTTGATGACTCTCAAATCCTTACCTCCATCTGGGGTTTCTGCTATGGAGGCCCCTGGTTCCTGGGCATCTCCACGGGCACCACAAGCTCAGCCTGTCCTCACTGGACCACACTGGGCTGCTCCCATCCTTCCCCACTCTTATTCTCACCTAGCAAATGGTGCCCAGTCACCAACCAGACATGCTGGTGGAGCCAGAGGCCAACCTAGGCTCCTCCCTCCCACCGCTCCTATAATCGATGAGCTGCTGGGTTTTTAAAGTTCTACCCCTTTAGCCTCTATACCTGTGATGCTGCCTTTGTTCAGATCCTGGTAGTTCACGTCAGTCACTCCAGAAGCCACCTAACGGCTCTCCCTGACTCCAACCTCCCTTCCTCTGTTCCCAACTTACACCACTACCACACTGACCCATCTACATCACAGACAAGATGCACTACTCCTCGGCTCAACATCCTGCAATGGCTCGTGACCACCTTTACACTAATGTCCACACCCTTTAGCACAGCAGACAGACTCGTTAGGGCCTGCCTCACCTGTCTCCCTCAACATCAGACCCACTGACAGCTCCAAATGTGCCTCTGGGCACCCCCAGGTGCTGCTCCCTCTGACCATCTAACTCCATCTCAGTCTTTTGCCTCCTTAAGATGTCCCCACTGCACTCCATCCCCCAAGCTGCCTCCATCCTTTGAGCTCCCACAAGCCCTGTGCACATCCTGACACCACACTTCGTCCTCTGCACGATGACCCTGGTGGACGGGGCCCAGCTGCAGGGGTGGTGCAGGCAGAGCCGCGGGACCTGCTTCCCCGCAGGCAATGACCTCCTGGGCACACTCATGCTCAGTGACTGACGGGATATGGGGTATAAAGGCCCGGCCACATGATTCTGGGAGGCCATTCCAGCTCACAACTCCCGGGTCCTGGAGAGTCGGCTGTGGGGCCTGCCTCACAGCTCAGCTCCTCCTCTCAGCCCCATTCTGCCTCCTCCCCACCCTTTCCCAGGCAGTGAGCCCAAGGAACTCCCTGAGAAGTATCCTCACTCTGAACTCCACTGCAGAGCCTTCTTCCTGGGAAAGCAGGGAGCCCCCGCTGCAATCACATAACGTTTACTCGTCTGCCTCCTCGGAGCACCTTGAGGGAAGATGCTCCCCACTAGTGCTACAAAGCCTGGCACATAGAATAAGCTCAATATGGTTGGTTGAGCAGAGTCTGAGGGAACATTTATTATGTGTGGATCTCAGGAAGACACTGCTAAGAGTTTTTGGGTATGAAAAAACCCAAACGTCGGACACATTACACACTTTCCTTCAAAGAGTGTGTGTGCAGTTAAGTACAGGAGATGCTGATAATTAAAGATAAATACAACGCACAGTATAAAGCGGTAAGGACCCTAGCAGAGACAAAAAGTCGTAAAGAAACTCAACAGGGGAACTGCAGAGGCTGCAGGGGTCAGGGGCTCGCTCAGGAACCATGTACGTTTGGCTCTGCAATACAGTAAATGACTTTTTAAAATATAACTCTCTTTCATAATTAGTTGTAATTACTAATTACAACTGTAGTTGATTTAAAGTCTCCAAGCATGCATGAATTCATTAACACAACCCACAGGTTTTCTGATTAGGAAGAACCAGGCCCAAAAATTTTTCAAGGGTAATTCACATGTTGATAGTTGACCCGAGTGCAGTAAACGATAAGAGATACTTTAAGAAATAAATTAACATAAAACATATAAATACCACAAACAATATTTATACATTTGTGAAGAATTTTTATGTCATATTAAGTTATGTGAGTAAAAGCAGAAATCTAAATCTCTGAATAAAACTTTTTATCAATGTTTCCAGTTCCTGAAACTTTTAAGTTTGGGGTGGCATGAAAACTGAAGAATAGTTAAATAGGACCAATTTAAAAGACAAAAAATAACCTCTACTTAAAGACAAAATGTTAGCTCTACACCTGGAAGCTGCATCTATTACATTCACTAATTAATAATAGACTAACAAGGCCAGGTGTGGTGGCTCATACCTGTAATTCCAGCACTTTGGGAGGCCGAGGCGCGTCCATCACCTGAGGTCAGGAGTTTGAGACCAGCCTGATCAGTATGATGAAACCCCGTCTCTACTAAAAATACAAAAATTAGCCAGGCATGGTGGCGGGCACCTGTAATCCCAGCTACTCAGGAGGCTGAGGCAGGAGAATCGCTTGAACCAGGGAGGCAGAGGTTGCAGTGAGCCGAGATTGCGCCACTGCACTCCAGCCAGGGCAACAAGAGCGAAACTCCATCTCAAAAAAATAGAAAAAATAATAGACTAATAAAACAGTAAAAAAAAACAATGTGAGAAAATGGACGTCTTCATCGCAAAAGCTCGCCATTTACCATATATGCAATTCCCCAGTGTTATTTTCCTTCTAGGTCTTTGTGAAATAGTGAAGTGTTTTCCCTCACATCTTACCTGTCACCCAACTGGATCAGAGCACTATGTACCAGCTTGACCCTCCCTCCAGGCATCAGGCCTAAAAAAAAGATGAACCAAAATCAATGCACCTTTCAATAGAAGCTAAATCAAAATCTAGTCATAGTTGCCTGGAATCATTTTTCATTGCCTAAATATCTGTGTTACGAAATAACATCAAATGCAAATCAATACACAGCATCCCTTCCGTCCTCTGGGTGAGGTTCATGTATACTCCCTTAGGAGAAGAATCCAGAATTCGCAGTTCAAAGTCTTATGGGAAGAAAGATTGTAGAACCATGATCTGAGAGCCTTTATATCTTTAGATCTGATAAAATAAGGGCGGTAAGCCATCCGTACATGTGTATGAATGTACACACACTAAACAAGCCTTAGATCACAGCAGCAAACGTTGCCCTGTGAATGTCTACCGAGGCTCCAGTGCCTACAGGAAAGTTGCAGGACCTCTCCTTCCACCATCCCAGAGACTCAGAAATCTGCTGGTCTCCAGGCAGAATGTACAGAAGGCAGAGTGGCTCCTCAGCCAAAGTGCATCTGGTCTCACTCTTTGTTCCAGCAGCTTCTCCAGCTTCCTTCTCAAACAACACAGAGCCACGGCTCTGAGGCCTGACTGCTTTTCTTTTCCTTCCCTGAAAGCATTCATGGCTACAGCTCTGGCTCCTTGGCCATCCACTGGTTTTGCCTCCTATGTCTGCTCTCAATATCACTTTTCCTCTAAAACTACCGCAAGGAGAAAAACTAGAAATCTATGGATGTTAAAACCCAAATTCTGGGTAAGGCATTGCCTAGAACTCTGGGGGCAGGTGAATTAAAAGCAGATAGAAATAAATCCAATCTGCAGCTGGGCCGGGTCCCTGTAGCTGCTGCGTATCTCCTGCCAGTCACAACCACAGTGAAGAAGGGTCAACGCTGCCATTCACAAATGTGTAGCTTCCCGGCACACCCCCCACCTGGCATCTCGGCTCCCACACCACCGGCCATGGGCAGCTTTTCTGGCCGGGTCCTCCCACTGGCCCCTACATGCCACAGCCCACAGGCAGCCTTTCTGGCCAGGCCCTTTCCAGCTGGGTCCCTACACACCATTGCCCACGGGCAGCCTTTCTGGTCAGGCCCTTTCCAGCTGGGCCCCTACACACCACCACCCATGGGCAGCCTTTCTGGTCAGGCCCTTTCCAGCTGGTCCCCTACACACCACCACCCATGGGCAGCCTTTCTGGCCGAGCCCTATTGCTGGGCCTCCGCTCCAGGAAGTCCACCGCCAGTCGCCCTCTCCCGGACTGGGGTCTTCGCCCAGGTCTCCTAGCACCTAGGACTGGACCTCGCTTATGCAGAGAACGCTTCATAAAAAGATGCTGGCTGCCTCCTTCTGAGACTTGAGCTCTCCAACAGCCACTCATCCAACGCCTACACAAAGAGCTGGCAGCCACCGTGAACAACGGGCTGGTCTGAACGGCCTCCCTTCCTAAAGGCAAGGTTGGAACGTGGTAGCAATTTTGGTAAGTGGTTCAGTGAAGAAAGGGTGTTTCTATACAGCAATATTTTTAAATGAAATACTCACCCTCCAGGATATTCCTTATATGACTATCATGTACTACAAAACATTTGTATGCAAATACTTTTTATGCAAAATGATTTTGTCTCCATAGCCAGATTATCACCTGACTATGGACAGAAATGATCTCCTCAGTACCATCCGTAATTGTTTGACAAATACCTTGATCACGTAACAAGTTAATGGTACAACCAGCCTCAAGGCGAACTCTCAAGGTCACAAGAGTTCTGGGCATCAGGCCGGGCGCGGTGGCTCAAGCCTGTAATCCCAGCACTTTGGGAGGCCGAGACGGGTGGGTCGTGAGGTCAGGAGATCGAAACCATCCTGGCTAACACGGTGAAACCCTGTCTCTACTAAAAAATACAAAAAAAAAACTAGCCGGGTGAGGTGGCGGGCGCCTGTAGTCCCAGCTACTCAGAAGGCTGAGGCAGGAGAATGGCGTAAACTCGGGAGGCGGAGCTTGCAGTGAGCTGAGATCCGGCCACTGCACTCCAGCCCAGGCGACAGAGCGAGACTCCGCCTCAAAAAAAAAAAAAAAAGAGTTCTGGGCATTTGGGGCAGAACCCTGGGTGTGAAGGGGGGGCTGGTGCTGAGACCGACTGTGTGGGTCTCACCCCATCACTAACCCACCCTGTGACCTGTGTGCATTGAGAAGGAGGCACCAGGACCCCTGCCAGGCTCCCTAGCTCTGACGCTCCGGGATTCTAGGGGCAGCCTGGAGTGGACAACACAGAGCAGAGGGTGCCGCATGAAGAACACATTGAGAAACATGGTGATTCCACCTCTAAAGCATCTACCAGTGAAATGAACGCCACGACTGTCTTATTTTTACTGAAGTCAGAATCAAGAGTCAATTTGTAAGGGCCACCACAGACGTGTGAATACAGAGCACACAGCATTTGCTCCAAGGGCCAAAGCGCCCTCTTCCCGAATCTCAAGAGGTTAGGAACAAACCCGGTCTCATTCATATTATTTTTTGCCAGATCTACATGGGAAAACACCCCTGATACAAGCAAGGTGGAAGGGGGGCTCATCATTACAAACTGGGTGGTGGGAAGCCAATGAGGTGAGAAGGAAGTTGAGATCAAAACATGGGCTAATCTCAACCACAGAACACAACAGGACTGAATTACTCCGTCACTTCTGAGCCCTTTCTGGAACTGAAAATCGTACTCCATAGCATCAAGAGCAGCCAACTGTGAGAGGTGCTGTTAGCTTTGCTTCAAGTCGCTTCTGCTCTGCCCAGACCCGGGGACCTTTGCCATCCTGGGATCCAGTCTAACGGCCCTCAGGGGCAGCATCCAGTGTTCCTGATACGCCCTGGGGTTGTGAATCCAAAACTGAAAGGAAGAAGCCCCAAAATGAATGTGCACTGAAAGACTCGGACACCTGAAATATGTAGGAAACAGCTGCAGAACACGGCTGTCCTTGACTTGTCTGACAGAACTGAATGGTACTCAGTTGTAAACAGAACTCATTAAATCCTACTAAAATCAAAACATTCACTCAGAGGCTGGATGTGGTGGCTCACGCCTGTAATCCCAGCACTTTGGGAGGCCAAGGCAGGTGGATCACCTGAAGTCAGGAGTTTGAGACCAGCCTGACCAACATGGTGAAACCCTGTCTCTACTAAAAATACAAAAATTAGCCAGGCCTGGTGGTGCACACCTGTAGTCCCAGCTACTTGGGAGGTTGAGGCAGGAGAACTGCTTGAACCCAGGAGGCAGAGATTGCAGTGAGCCCAGATCACACCACTGTACCAGCCTGGGTGACAGAGCAAGACTCTGTCTCAAAAAAAAAAATTTTTGATTATTCTAGTTAATTGAGACACCTGTTCAACAGTTGATACGGTTATATGACATACAACTTTCATTTTCATTTTTCAGGTAGTAATTTATATTTTTCAAAGCAGTTACTGGTATTTTTTTTTTTTTAAACAGAGAAACAAGGTCTCATTCCATCACGCAGGCTGGAGTGCAGTGGCAAGATCATGGCTCACTGCAGCCTCAAACTCCTAGGCAATCCTCCCGCTTTAGCCTACCAAGCAGCTGGGACTACAGGTGTGCACCACCACGCCCAGCCAATTTTTGAATTTTTTGGTACAGACGGAGTCTTACCATGTGGCCCAGGCTGGTCTCAAACTCCTGGGCTCAAGCGATCTTCCTGCCTCAGCCTCTCCCAGCAGGCATGAGCCTCTGCGCCTGGCCATACTCAGTGCCTTTAATCTCTATTCATTTTAGAAAACACTAAAATTCATTTTTTTACTTAATAGTTACCTAAATCACTTACTGAACCTGCGATGTCTGCCTTTGGTAATTCAACAACCACCTAAAAATAAAACATTGAAAATGAATATTGATACATTTTATAATTCTGACACAACCTAAGCAAAGCATAGCTCTAATTAAGATGGAGAGCTATATTAGGTTCTACAACATAACTGCTCCAGAAAAAGACACTGATCTTTAGCCTCAGAACTAACGCTCTACAAGCTGACTCCTTTGCTTTGATCTCCTCGTGTTCTCTTCACTTGGTGACTTAATCAACAGTCTTGGCGCATCCTCCAGGACAAGCCAATCCAGCGTGACCTTGGCCCTAACATTTTGTTCCCTTCCCACTTCCATTCCACGTTCCCAAAGCCCTGTGTGCAATTCCTATTTCTCTGTCATGAAAGGGCCCCAAACTTGCCATGTGTGACCTTCTGCATCCCTTCTGCTCAGGACCAGTAAGCCGTCTTGCTCTCCATTTCCCACTATAGCTAATTGGGCCTTGCCCCCTGTGCCATTCAGGCGCCACCTCCACCCAGACCACCTCACTCAGGCCCCGCATGTGCCTGGCCCGGACCACTACTCACCCACACATTGAGAACCCCACTCTCATCCAAGGAAGCGATGTGGAAGGACAAACCTGACATTTCTGATGAAAACAGAAACAAAAAGAAAGAAATGGCTTTACATAAGGAAACCATATTTCACAACTAGTGATTAAGAATTTTAAGAAAGTGAAGAATCACGTACCTTCCTGAGTCGAAAAGGGTGAAAGCACAAAGCTCTGCTTTTTGTGGACGGACGTTGAGATAGGTTCTACTGCTTGCAGAGGGCTTTGGTGGTTTACTGAGGTAAGGATTCCATCTGGAGTTCAAAATCCCACAGCACCCACGTGTAAGTAATAAGTTGCAGAAATGTAGCTGGCATCACACATGGACAAACATGAGGTGCTTCTGGGTCTCACAAATTTGACTCTCTCCACACATCTTCCCAAAACACCCCAGGACCAACATGGACCACATACGACTGACACAGGACCACAACTTTCACATTCCTAGGACACAGGGGCCCCAGCCCCCGCTCTCCAGTAAGAAAGCGTCAGTTCCCACAGAGCTCGCTGGCCCTGTGGGTCTACGGGTCTGGCGGGCAGGAAGAAAGCTAAAGCCCACACCCAAAGACAGCATGCCACACAGCCCGAAAGAAAACTCAGACAGAGAGAGTCTCTGTGAGGCCAGATCCTGGGGGTCACTCAAGCAACTGAGGGGAAGGAGCTGGGAGGCAGAGGAGGTCGGAGCAGCATGGCTGATGGGAAGGGGAATGTGACCAGGAAAGGGAGGTGACCTCCACACACACCCGACAACTGCCAGAAGAGGGAAATCCAGGCGTTTGCAAAACCAAAGGAATGGCAAACCCACCCCACCTACCACTTTAAGGCAAAATGCCCACTAAAAAGATATCTGTCACGAATCAACAAAGCAAAGCTCACTGACTTAAAATATCCATCTACGGAATGCCTATGAGCAGAAAAAAAGCCAAACTCCATAGAAAGCTACTATAAGAAGAAAACAGAAAAAAATGTAATCAAAGGATTTCAGCTGATGAAAATTCTCCCTCCTAAAAACAAGCACAAGGCAAAAGACACAAAACTCAATGTTCCAAATGGAATCACATCTCCTCAAAGGGCATCTAGAAACATATCAAAACAACAAACAAGAAAAAAACACCGGGAATCAGAAATCAAGAACAGAATTGGACCCAAGAAAGCAAGAAATGAAATGAGAATTGGGATTGAACTTGGGAAAAAAACTGAAGAAAAAGACGAAATCATCTCAGAAATTCAGAAGAAATTATAGGGTGTTTAAGGGAAAGGACCCAGATGAAGCGCTCACGGCTTGACTGAGGAAAGGGCTGGTCTCTCGGGCGAGAATTTGGTTCCTCTGACTCATGGTCTGAATCAGAAGTTCCACAGCTCCTCACTACTGAGAGTTTATTTAAAACTTTGTAGGTTTCATTGATAATATTTCAAAGACAAGGCCAGGCGTGGTGGTTTATACCTGTAATCCCAGCACTTTGGGAGGCCGAGGCGGGCAGATCACCTGAAGTCAGGAGTTCAAGACCAGCCTGACCATCATGGAGAAACCCCGTCTCTACTAAAAATAAAGAAATGAGCCAGGCATTGGTGGTGGGCACCTGTAATTCCAGATACTCAGGAGGCTGAGGCAGGAGAATCGCTTGAACCCAGGAGGCAGAAATTGCAGTGAGCTAAGATCGTACCACTGTATTCCAGCCTGGGCTACAGAGCCAGACCCATCTCAAAAAAAAAGAAGGATGCATTTTAATGGAATAATTTATTTGTATGTATAGTCTAGAGGTTTACTGTTTTTGAAAATGGTGCCGCATTCAAAAACTTTTTAGTAATAGCAGCAGCAGTTAGAAAAGGTGAAGATTATTTATTTAAAAGATATCTTTTAAAATAGCATCGCAACCCATAAGTTACCTGTAAATTCAAACAGTCTTAACAGTGTAATATTGCCCCACACAGAGGGGCACAATTCATGGTTGGGGAATTTAAAAAGTGCCTCTCTTATGTACAATGTACAGATACACATGTCAAACACAGACAGATACGCAACATATCTACGATAAGAAAGCCACACAGAGGGGTGAGTGATGAGCTCAGCCTGCACCTTCAGTCCACAGCACCCCAGCCCCTACAGGAAGAGGTGGTGCAGGGCGTGGCATGGGGTCCGAGGGCAGGCCCCGCCATGTGGTCAGCGTGACCTCAGACGAATGCTGCATCTTCCCGTGGAGCTGGGACTCAGGGCTATCAGGGGAATTAAATGAGACGATGTACGCTACGCACCAGGGCGAGTCCCAGAACATAGGAAACACTTACGCCGGGTGCCTGCTGTGGTGTCTGGGCACGGCGTGGTATGAACGTCCACCCGAGTCAAGTCGAGGCTCAGGGAGGCCCAACTGTGCTGGTTCCAGGCAGCACTCAGGGTGACTGGCTTTGCTCGCGTGAGTGTGAGTTACCTTTGTCCTGGAGGACACACGTGCCAAGATGCCTCAAGCTACTTTAAAACTAAAGGTAATATCATTGAGGATTTTTTGGAATCCATAAATGTAATAAGAAAGGAAATTCGAGTCATTCTTGGCCACTGTATAATCATGATTAGAATTGATTTTTGTTTTTTATATTTGTCAAATGCCTCTTGAGTCAGACCCCATCCTCTGAGACAATTTGAATAAGTAAATGCAAATCCATGTAAAGCTTTGTTCCTCAAATCTGTGTGGCTTTTTTAGAAGACACACAATTGGCAGGTGGATGACACTGACCGGTGGAAAACGTGGCCGTCCGGAATGTCCAGAAACCATCGCTCAGCTTCATAGAGTGATGCAACCTTGAGTCTTCTCTCAAATCCCAGACGACGACTGAGCCGTGCGCTGTTCCGGCAAACAGTAAAAATGCTTTGAATGGGCTCAAGCAGCAACACGTGACCTAAAAGACAAATGCACAGAAAGCCAATGACTGAAGAATATGAGAAGCATGCTCACAGAAGCTGCATTTACTGAGTGAGGTGTCTGACCATGTTTCACTTTGCACGGGAGTCACGTGCAGGACACGGTAAGCAGAACGTGAACTCCCACACAGAAATAAAAGGTGGCTTGTCAGGTTCCTGAAATAACAGGGATGAGAAACCAATCCCATAGGCTTGCTATGATCACAAATGCAAGGTGCTGACACTCATCTGGTCACACAAAGCCTGCCAGGAGCCCATCCACTCAACTCAATCAGCTGACCCTCAAAAAAGTAGCAGTTCCATCCTGCACCATTTTATTTACATCTTGTATTACAAAAGTTACAATTTCAACAGTTTTTCTACAATTTTTGTGGAAATCAATGGTTTTGAGGCCAGGGAATACATAACTAGGAAAATACAAATGCACATTTTCCCAAACATAGAGAGGCAGCCCCGACCCCTCACTGCACAGCCCTCAAGCCTCAGTGCCAGCCTCCTAGGCGGTGAATGGGAAGCCTCCGGAAGGACTCTGAGCGACAGCACACTTCAACACAGTCTAAGAAACCTCAACGCAGTCTGAGAAACCTCTAAAACACTCAGGACCGAAACAGTGCAAGACAGAAAAACAGGCATCGAGGGCCCCAGAGCTATGCCGAGCGTGGCCAGTATTTTCATTCAGCCTATAACTACCTCCATTTCCTAATTCTCAGCTGACCTAAAGCACCGGTCAGCTCTGTGAAAATTCTCGTTTGCTCATTTTGAACTACGAATTTCCAGAGTCAAAACAAGCACACCCACGCATCTCACTGCACCCACAGCACAGCTGAAGCCAGCTGTGACAGGCAGAGAATGGCCCGTAAGTTCCTACCCACCTCCTGTCCCTGCACCTCTCCCCATGCCTGCACCTTCACGCTCTGTCCACCGCCCATCCTCCCATCAAATGCGCGACTCTCCTCCTGAGCTGTACCTGGGACTCACATATCAGAACCTTCTGTGGCCCTGAAGGCTGCCAAATATCCCACACACAGAGGACGTATTTGCTGTCCAGCAGGGGCACAAAGGCCTTCTCGGGTAAGTCGTGAACGGAGACCACCATCTGCCTCTGAACTCGGGAGGTGTGCAAGGAGGATACTTTTCGATCTAGGGAGAAGAAAAATATGTTCACATTTTAGTGAGCTAAATTAACACACTTCCGAATACTCAAAAAAAAAAAAATTCAGCTTCATGAAGAAACAAACATGGTCCTTTCAAAACCAACATACATGAAACATAGGTTGTGATGAATGGCCACAGCCTATGCCCGAACACTCTGTCCAAGCTGACCTCACAGTCTGGCTAAAACGCGGTAGCATGCAGCCCAAGACACCTGTGGCTCCACTAACGACTCACACAGAAACTAGCTGCCACCACATGCCAGCAGTCAGGATCTCAGAGCTGGGAGGCACTGGAGTGAGCCTGGCCACCCCTCTGCTTCAGAACATTGCTAATACACCAGCTGCAGGGGTTTCAGCATTGGAACACCACGTGGCACACTGCTCTCCTCAAAGGCTGCGTGGGGCTGAGCACCGTTCCAGACGCTGCTCTACCTGGCGAGGGACTGCACTCCAAGGCGTTACTGTTGCCACTGCTGGCCGTGCCAGCGGCTCCCACACATCGGCAGAAGATGGAGATGGAGTTCATGAAATAGAAGGATGGGAAGTCCACGACTGGTGATAACTTCAGTCAAAGAACCGGACCGCGCCACTGGCAGGCGCCAAGTCAATGTGGAAAGCAGTACTGGTCAACCCCGACCACACGCACACGCCACAAACCTCTCAGCCCCACAGTTCACATCCTGCTACCCACACCATCCACACCTGGGTCACGACGTCCCCTCCGATTCCAGGGAACCCTCTTTCTACCTCATCACAATCGCTCATAGCTGCAGCCTTCTGGGGCCACTTCCACCAGCAAGCGTCAGGTCTTCTTCCAGGTGCCGTATTTAATAGATGTTTTTAGTGGGATGAGGTTCTCGAGTGCTGTGACCTGACCCCGTTTTCTCCTAAGCCCTCTGGTTTTTATTGGCAATCTTCCACAGGGTAGAGACTTTTAGGAACGTGTACCTCCTGTTACAGCAGAACTATGATGGCAACCAAGGCCTGACCCATCGCTGCCCCGACCTCACCTCCCGCTGGCCACCGTGGTCTCCTCGCTTCTCCCCAAGGCACAGGTGTGCCCACCCCTCAGGCCTGTGTGCATGTGGCCCCTCTTCCAGAAGCTCCCATCTCCTTGTGGCCCCTCTCTCATCTCTGTCCGGTTTTCACTCACAGTGAGGCCTCCTCTATCAGAACTGTCTTTATTTTTCTCCTTAGAACTTAACCCTCTCGGATAGACTGTATGTTGACCTGTGCAGCCAGTGCAGAGTCTACTTGACCCGCCGAAACACAAGTTCAGGAGGGCAGAGTTGCTGTCGTCCTACTCACTGCTGAACTGCAGCTCCCTGACAGTGCCCAGGGCATGGCACCCGCTATGGAACATTCGTCAGATGAACGACCCGCCGGCTGCGTCATTCTGCCGCGTGTTTTAACAGTGGTGAGGACGACCCGCCGGCTGCGTCATTCTGCCGCGTGTTTTAACAGTGACGGGGACGACCCGCCGGCTGCGTCATTCTGCTGCGTGTTTTAACAGTGATGGGGACGACCCGCCGGCTGCGTCATTCTGCCGCGTGTTTTAACAGTGGTGGGGACGACCCGCCGGCTGCGTCATTCTGCCGCGTGTTTTAATAGTGATGAGGGTACTGGGTGGATCCTAGGAAAGCTGAAGGATCTCTACATCTGATCACAGATCAGAATCTAATGTGAGTCAAATCCTGGATTTGCAGGGTGAGACAACCCACACATTCCATCTCATGCTTCTCTTGGAGTCTCATGTTCCTTCTGCTATCTCAATATTCATTTTACCAAAACACAAAAATAAGCAAACAAGACCTTCTGCTCCTTGAACATGTGGGAAGTGCAGTACACACACACACACTTCACGTGTTCCCCAACGGAGGCCACCGTCAGGGAGGCTGTGTGCTGCAGTACTAACACACACTTCACGTGTTCCCGACGGAGGCCCGGTGCTGCAGTACGCACGCACACTTCACGTGTTCCCCGACGGAGGCCCGGTGCTGCGGTACGCACGCACACTTCACATGTTCCCCAACGGAAGCCCGGCTCTACAGTACACACACACACTTCACGTGTTCCTGATGGAGGCCACGCTGCGGTACACACACACACACACACACACTTCACGTGTTCCCCGACAGAGGCTGCGCACTGTGGTATGCACACACACTTCACGTGTTCTCCAACAAAGGCCGCATGCTGTGGTACACACATGCACATCATGTGTTCTCCGACGGAGGCCGCAGCACTGTAGTACACACACACACTTCATGTGTTCTCCAACGGAGGCCGTGGCGCCATTGCCGCTCTCATGCACCTGCTGTCACTGCTCAGCGTCAGCTCTCTGGGGGCCGCATACACTCGGTTCCCTTCTTGGTGTGTGCTGGGTGTGGGAGTGTGGATGCCAATGTGTTGAATTATACAGGTACAGAGATTTACTATTTTTCTAACAGGAAAAGAAAACTCTCTCAAAGAATGTGAAGACTTGTTAAATTAACAATGCCATTTTTGTTAAACTGAAATCTCTGCATAGCAGGCAGGATGGAAGAAATGCCTAGAACAGTGGCACCAACTGCTCTGGCCTCACACATGCCCTGAAGCACGATTGCCCTGCAGCACCCCTGCACCTGCTGCCAAGCGGACGGCCACACACACCGCCCCTGCTGGTTCTCCACAAAAACCGGGACCATGGCTGCCCTCTGGTACCTGACAGCCACTTTTTCAGAGACAAAGAGGTTACTAGCTCAAGAAATTTAAATTTGGTCTTGCAAATGCAGTTTGTCTGAAGTGATTAAACAGTTACATGCAACTGCACTTTCTGTTTGAGATCCTGGGCTTTGCTTCCCGTTTTATGTTCCATAACCACGGATCAACCTAAAAATCTAATTCTATCTACACTAAATGTTAAGCATCTTACTCGTATCTATGTCTAAACTATTAACACAATTTTGACCTGAACACTCTCTCATGCTCGTCCAACTATTTCTTCTACTCTATCTCATGAAAAGAAACTGAATAACTGGAAGAGAAAAGAAAATAGGATTTCAAACACATGGAAAATCTCAGTTCCCATTCATTTAAACAGTCTCACTTGTTTACATTACTGTGGATCCCTCTTCTATTCATCTTATTAAAATCCTTAATCACAAATTTAACATACACACTTAAGGGGGAAAAACGAACCACTCACTTTTGAATTCTGCAGAAATTCAGTCTTTCTCAATCTTATGTACAGTAAACCCCATCACATTAAAATAAAATGTAATACTACAAATTATTATTTCAACATGAATGTTTAGTCACTGGATTTAAAACCGTATTTGAGAACAGCCTCTTACTTTGAAGGAATGGCAGGCTGGTGTTCAGCTGATATGAGCTGTCACTAAAAGACAGGGCCCCGTCTTGAGCCCTAAGATTCCAGCTGGGTTCAGCTGCCAAACGATCTTCTTCCAGCAAAACAGCCATCACCTGTCAGACATAAGTGAGTAGTCGTTAATAAAAACTTTACAAAGGACTATCTTTTCCCAAAAAAAAAATTACCTTTTCATCTTATCCAGATCTGCAAATAACTGCCTAGATCCACGACACTATCATAACTACAAGAAAAACGATATGGTCCTTTATGCACAATACTGAAAACTAATACAATAAGATTAACTAAAACAAACTCCACAAGAGAACCATCATTTGCCCTGAATGTTGTTTTTCATGCCACATACACTGCTAAAAATCACCGTGGGAGGAAGGGCTGGATATCCAGCATTTATAAATGAACAAAGCAGTGTAAAGAACAGTCATGAACCCACTGAGTCTCTCTCACCGGGTTTCGGTAAAAAGCCAGAGTGAGTGGTAAAACACTGTCATCGTTCCAGGAGCATCCTTAGGATTTGACGGTGCAGAGAGAGATTGGGAGACACAACAGGACTGATGGAAAAAGAACTAGAAATGTTCCTGAGACCTAACAGAAGGAAAGTGAGGAAGGCAGAGGGTGTTCAGTGAGAAGCGACAGGATTTGTGTGAGGAAGAGGAGGCTGCGTAGTAAAAACTGAGGCCAGGAAGTGTGCAGTGGGAACTGACGTGACCTGAACACTCAGGGTCAGGACAGCCGGGAATATTGAGTGAGAACTGACAGAATATGGGAGAGTGGGAGATAGGAAATGCTGAGTGAGAGCTGACTGTGTGAGAGTGACGAAGGCAGAAACAGACAGTGAAAGCCGAACGTACGGGAGTGAGGAAGGCAGAGAAGGTTTCATGTGACCGGACAGAACAGGAGGGCGGGAGGCAGGAAACATTGAGTAGAATTGATAGGATTCGTGCCAGAAAGGGAACCTGTAGTGAGGACTGACAAGATGGGTGGGAAGAAGGAAGAAAATGTTAATGAGAACTGACGGGAAGAGAGTATGGAAGGCAGGAGATTTGAAGTGAGAGATGACAGGATGGGAACAGGCAAGAAAAGGAGTGTTTAGTGAGAGATGGAGGGTGGAGTGTGGAGGGCAGGGGGTGTTTAGTGAGAGATGGAGGGTGGAGTGTGGAGGGCAGGGGGTGTTTGGTGAGAGATGAAGGATGGAGTGTGGAGGGCAGGGGTGTTTAGTGAGAGGCAGAGGGTGGAGTGTGTAAGGCAGGGAGCGTTTAATGAGACTCGATAGGATCCGTGTGAGGAGACAGGAAGTGTCTTGTGAGAAACACCGGACGGGAATGAAGAAAGCAGGGAGTGTTTACTGAGGACCTGCAGGAGTGTGTCCAGGCCACAGACCAGACAGGAGAGCTGTGAGTTCAGGGATGGCCCCAGGCTGGTCACCCTCTGTCCTCCCTCCTTCCCTATCCACCTCACCTTGCACCCAAGCGCTCTCTCATCTTAGAGATGAGAACTTACACTAGAACTTAGAACTAGAACACTTAGAACTTACACTAAAACAAAATGTGATACAAATCATAAATCGTGTAAAATCATAATCACATTTCGTAAACCATAGATTCCTACATAATTGCAGCAGAGTGACTACATGACCACCACGTGCTCAGATTAGTGTCTGAGAATCATCCATAATGTCAATTAGCATGTCGATGTTTCACGATCATCCTTAATCTCAACCAGCGTGTCAAGGTTTCACAAACATCCTTAATCTCAACAGTGTGTTGAGGTTTCACAATCATCCTTAATGTCAACCGGCATGTCGAGGTTTCACAATCATCCTTAATGTCAACCAGAGTGTCGAGGTTTCACAATCATCCTTAATCTCAACCAGTGTGTCGAGGTTTCACAATCATCCTTAAATGTCAACCAGCGTGTCGAGGTTTCATAATCCTTAATCTCAACCAGCATGTTGAGGTTTTCACAATCATCCTTAATGTCAAGTGTGTCAAGGTTTCACGATCATCCTTAATCTCAACCAGCATGTCGAGGTTTCACGATCATCCTTAATCTCAACCAGCGTGTCGAGGTTTCACGATCATCCTTAATCTCAATCAGCGTGTCAAAGTTTCACAATGTTCCACTTCAGTGCTGCAGTAGACTCAAGTGCTAAGCTTCCATACAAGAAAGTGATGAGACAGCTGGGGAAATGTGAATGCCGACTTCACAGCTGACTGCATTTTAAGTTATTACTAATTACTCTTTTAGACATTCTCTGCTTTTTGAGATTCATACTGAACTCTATTTGGAGGCAAAGTTAGATGATTGGGATTTGTTTCAAAATAACCGATGGGGTGGGTGGTGGAGTGGGCAGGGGGGTCAGACAAAACCCACGGCCATGAGGTGATAACCACTAAAGTACCTGCAGCTTCACAGGACTGTTTCATGTCTCTTTGTATGGATTTAAAAATTTTTTCCGTTTATAAATCTGCTTATAAAATCAGAAGTTTATTATTTTCAAATACCCTAGATTTATGCTTGCCTTGCCAACTTCACGTCTGCTCGTTAGTCTCTAGTTGTTTTAAAATGTAAGAAATTAATAGGCCAGGCGCGGTGGCTCAAGCCTGTAATCCCAGCACTTTCGGAGGCCGAGACGGGCGGATCACGAGGTCGGGAGATCGAAATCATCGTGGCTAACATGGTGAAACCCCGTCTCTACTAAAAAATACGAAAAATTAGCCAGGCGAGGTGGCAGGTGCCTGTAGTCCCAGCTACTCGGGAGGCTGAGGCAGGAGAATGGCATAAACCCGGGAGGCGGAGCTTGCAGTGAGCCGAGATCACGCCACTGCGCTCCAGGCTGGGTGACAGAGCGAGACTCCGTCTCAAAAAAAAAAAAAAAAAAAGAAATTAATAATAAAATTCACAATCCAAATACATACATAGTACTTTAGTGATATACATTTACCCAGTGTTATTCTGCCCACAAGGGCTTTATGAATGTACCACTGATAATTTTTAAGAAAATAATACCTGAAAATGAATAACTAATTCTGATTTATCCAAGCTACAAAGACTTTTAAGATCTTAAAAGCTCCTACGTTTCTATATAGAATGAAACTTAAAGCACTTACACAAAGAACACAACATATTATAGGTTGAGCATACCTGACAAGCCGCCCGCAGAAAGCTACATAACCTTGGAGTATCAATCTTTGGCATAACTACAGCATCGGAGGTATCTCTTTGTTCACTGCCTAAAAAAAACAGGTTATAAAAAATCAACGAAGTTGACTCTACAACAGTCATGCATTACACATCTTAGAGTTCAAACAGGCGTAACAAATCAACATTAAGAGTCCTAGAAGGAAAAGGTAGAAAACTTCAGCTATACTCTCTAGATTTACTACTATTAACTCCCCAAAACAATTGCATATTGTTTTATAGAAGTCTGTAATGTATTTAGAAAAACATTCAGGCCAGGCATGGTGGCTCACGCCTATAATCCCAGCACTTTGGGTGGCCGAGGCAGGTGGATCATCTGAGCTCAGGAGTTCAAGACCAGCCTGGCCAACATGGTGAAACCCCATCTCTACTAAAAAATACAAAAATTAGCCAGGTGTGATAGCAGGTGCCTGTAGTCCCAGCTACTTGGGAGGCTGAGGCAGGAGAATCAGTTGAACCCAAGAGGCGGAGGTTGCAGGGAGCTCAGATCGTGCCACTGCACTCCAGCCTGGGTGACAGAGCAAGACTTCATCTCAAACAAAACAAAACAAAACAAAAAAACATTCAAAGGAATCAATTGAATTATCATGTAAGTTTAGGTATATTACTTTCTTAAGGTGAGGCTTACCTGAGAAAAGCGGATAATATATATCCCTGACATACAGAGGCAATTCCTTGAGAAAAACCAGTAAAGCATTCAACATGTACATCGCTCCAGAGTACTTAGCAGAAACTATACATACTAGGGACCTTCGATCTAAATTGATGGAACATTTTTGCAAACTGCAAATTTTATATTTAAAATATAAAAATTCTATATTCATGAGAATAGGCTTCCCCCAAGTTAAAAGCACAGTATGCTCCAAAGATCCAGGGACACACTGGTTGTTTGGAATGTGGAATCTCTCCCTCTACATAGGAATAAAATCTGTCATAAATCCTGGCAATGGCGCAGACTAGGCCTCAAGAGCAGGTTTCCTTCCCCTTGTAGCTCAGCAGCTCTGTGGCTGGTAGTTAGTGTTTCTTTAAAAGAAAATTGGGTACTGATATTGTCACATGCTAACAACCATACAGAAGAGAAAGACAAAATGAGAGTGAACCAGAAAGGGAATAAGTAAAAATAAAATAAAAAAGAATGTAAAGAGAGTCAATAGTCAACACTCAAGAGCAAGATGTTACCTCCAGATACAACGGTACTTTCTCCTGGGTGCTGGGTCCACACTTCCCTGGTCTCTATTTCCTCCGTTTGAATGTCTCTTTCAACATTATCTTCATTACACTGAACATATGCCTTAAAAACAAAAATATGCCAAAATTAACGTTGGTTTCAATTTCAGAGCAATTTGTCATTACTAAGTTCATAATGAGAGTCGTGTATCAAAAGTAAGTATCAAAGCATAAAGAACAATCATGCAAAGACAACTGTGCTTAAACATTCGATATAGATATATACAGGTCTAATTTTCAAAAGTGTGTTCAAAAAGTCTCACCAAACAATTTCCCTTTAGTATGAAAATACTGCCACCTCACCTGCCCACATCCTATTTTCTTAGAACATGCTGGTTTTTCAAAACCACATATCTATTTCAAAAGGTACATGCTTCAGTAAAGTCAGTTTTGTTACTAACAGCTTTGGGATGAGGAAAACCACCAAAGATAAATAATCTACTTAAGGTCAGAGTGAATCAGCTGCAAAACTAGGATTAATATTGTCAGTGTCCCAGGAGTTCAAGGCTGCAGTGACCTGTGATCTTGCTACTGCACTCCATCCAGCCTGGGTGGTAGAGCAAGACCCTGTTTCTTAAAAAAAAAAATTTCAAATTTAAAAATTTAAAAGCCATCAGCTTCTTCAGCTTCATCCCGTGACCTTCCTCCTTTCAAAAGGATTTTATTGAGTGCACCAACTAGACAATGTTAAGATTGGTGGTACCAGTATCAGGAATGTAAGAAAAATGTAAGATAGGACGTCTAACTTCAAAAGCTTTAGAACCTTGTTGTGAAGTGAGACCATTACATAATGAATTAATGATTGGAAATACTACAGGGAAGTACAAAATTGCATGAAATAGTAAATTGTAGGAACTCTGGAACAGGAGAAAGAATTCAACATAAGTCACTAGGAAGGGTTCACCCAGAAAACGGGCCTCGGAAACTGAGGAACAGACAGACAGATAAGGCAGACAGGGAGCAGGAACGCCATACACCAGGGCACCTTGAGAAACCCATGAGAGAAGAGAGTCCCAGAATCAAACAGGTATAATCTGAATTAGAGAGAGTCCAAAGCTAGGCATGGTGGCACAGGCCTGCAGTCCCAGCTATAGGGGAAGCTGAGCCTGCAGTGTCCTGTGATCACACCTGTGAACATCCACTATACTCCAGCCTAGGGGTGTCTCTAATAAATAGATTAGTACCTTGTCTCTAATAAATAAATTTAATTTAAAAAAATTTTAAGTGAGTCCACATTATAAAAACCTTCAGAAGTATCGTATACATTGAAATTCTTCAATTACAAGAATTTTAAACAGACAAGTAGGACTGCTATACACTCACCTGGAACACAAGAAACAAATCCAAACCGGACACTTAGCTAGACTTTAAATAAAACATTTGCCTTCGCCACTATGCAACAGATCCATGTAACAAAACTGCACTTGTACTACCTCAATTTATACAAATAAAAAAAATTAAAAATATAAATAAATAAATATATTGGGCACAGAGGCTCACACCTGTAATTCCAGAACTTTGGGAGGCCAAGGCAGGCGGATCACTTGAGGCCAGGGTTCAAGACCAGCCCGGCCAACATGGTGAAACTCCGTCTCTACTAAAAATATAAAAATTGCCTGGGCATGATGGTTCACACGTGTAATCCCAATTACTTGGGAGGCTGAGGCACGAGAATCACTTGAACCCAGGAGGTAGAGTTTGCAGTGAGTCAAGATCACTCCACTGCACTCCAGCCTGGGCGACAGAGTGAGACTGTCTCTAAATAAATAAATAAAACATTTGCACAGCATAAAGCTTCACTCTAAGGTCAGGACAGCAGCCATTCTCTCCCTATTCCGAGCAGATCACCCACTGGAGCTCCTTCAGGCACTCCTGAAGGCTCTGGAGTACTTCTGGCTTTGCCTGTGCCTGGCCTCTTGGGTGAATGGGCCCCATGTGAAGATGGGTCCCCATTTTCCTTAAGCTTGTATCCTTCACAGACCATCCCCAAGTTCTAATATTGCAGAACAGTATTCAGGAAGACACAAAGTTATCCTATTAGACTTTACTTGCATTTTATCACTTAGTTAACATATCTCATATTTACCTGCTTGGTATTTTTTTTCCCAAAGTTTCTGATATACATGTCATATTCATTTACTGGTGGTAGATCCAAGAGCCAGAAAGTAAATGAAAAATCTAAGTCAATAAGCCGAAGCAGTTTTGTACTTCGCATCCTTTGAAATAAATTGGAAACAAGACAAAAATTAACTTGAATAATATACGTGGGGAAGTATAGGGAGAACAGAAGTAAACTTAGAGAGTTAAATGCATGTCATTGTCAGAAATCTAGCTTCAGTCTGGGGTGAGTCTGAGATATTTAACAGTTAAAAATAACTGAGTAGTAGAAAGTCGTGGGAACCCAGCGTGTGACCCTGGCATCTGGTGATCCTGCTCCCCGAGTGCTTCGTGTGTGTGTCCAGAATCTGATGTGTGACCATTCTAATGCGTACGCCTGAGCTAACACAAAGTCAAGTCACACAACATGTATGCCTGGGATGTTCATAAGCACCAATTCATTTGACTTCAGGAATTGACATTCTGACTGTCCCATCACCTGCGCCATGGTCAGACCATGCGGCCACTAAGGGTTTTGGGCCACGCTCTTCTCCAGGCCACAGCCAACCTCTGTGCTTCCCCCAGGACTTGACCTGCAGGCAGCACCTAACACAGTCAATGGCGCTCCAATCGCCCTCCGTCCACAGGCCTCTCACAGCCAATCCCGCTCCGCCACAGGCCTGACACAGCCAATCCCGCTCCGCCCACAGGCCTGACACAGCGAATCGACCTCCGCTTGCAGGCCTGACACCGTCAATCGTACTCGGCCCACAGGCCTGATAGTCAATCGCCGTCAGCCCACAGGCCTGACACAGCCAATCGTCCTCCGCCCACAGGCCTCACACAGCCAATCACCCTTGGCCCACAGGCCTGACACAGCCAATCGTCCTCTGCCCACAGGCCTCACACAGCCAATCACCCTTGGCCCACAGGCCTGACAGTCAATTGCCGTCAGCCCACAGGCCTCACACAGCCAATCGCCCTAGGTCTACAGGCCTAACACAGCCAATTGAGCTCCCACAGGTCTGACACAGCCAATCGCCCTCTGCCCACAGGCCTGACAGTCCATCGTCCTCCAATCGCCCTTGGCCCACAGGCCTGACACAGCCAATGGCCCTCCGCCCACAGGCCTGACACAACCAATCGCCCTCCGCCCACAGGTGTGACACAGCCAATGGCCCTCCGCCCACAGGCCTGACAGCCAACGGCCCTCCGCCCACAGGCCTGACACAGCCAATCACGCTCGGCCCACAGGCCTGACACAGCCAATCACACTCGGCCCACAGGCCTGACACAGCCAATCACCCTCGGCCCACAGGCCTGACACAGCCAATCAACCTCCGCCCACAAGCCTGACACAGCCCATCGTCCTCCAGTCACCTTTGCCCCACAGGCCTGACACAGTCAATGGCCCTCCGCCCACAGGCCCCGAAATGCCGCACCCACGTGGCTTCCTCTTGCTTCACAAACGGTTACTTTTCAATCGCCTGTGCTGGTTTCTCCTTTCCTTTCTAAAGTTTCACCCTAACATTAGTGTGCCCGGGGTCAAATCCTTAAGATATTTATTGTTTATTACTCCTCACTGGGATATAAACTCGCAAGGGCAGAGATTTTTGTTTCTTTACTGTGATCTCCACACAGCCGGTGCTCAATGAATGCACAGTGAATGAGCGAGTGAACGACCCGCCCAACATCGAGGTGCCTCGGCCACCGGGTCTGCTCTCTGCTCCTCCTCCTTCCCCCTTCCTTCTCCTCCCACTCCACCAGGTCTGCCCTGCTTCCTAGAGCACAGGCCTGCAGGAGGCTCGACCAAAGCCTGGTATGTTTTATCAGAAATTCTCCCACTGGAAGGTCCTCAACTTCCATTTTCGTCCCCTCGACCCTGTGCGAACGTCACATGCTCCAGGCCTTCTCTTTCTGCTTCACTCTATTGTCTTGAGAAATCAAGATGCAAACCTGAGTGGAAACAGCGATCGCCTGCGTGTGTCCCTTCTCTCCAGGACCTCGGCTCTTGAGGGCCCAGCGGCCTTGGTTGCTCCCGGTATATTTAATCAGCTGGGGTGTTTTTGTTGTTTTAAATCCAACTTTTGTAGTTGTTTTAGCTGAAGGATTTCTCTGATACAAGTTATTCCATCAAGAAAGTAGGACTCCTTCCATATTCTTTTTTAAGATGCTTTTCTCGAATCACTGGAGCATTTTTCATGACATTATATCCTCAAGAGTATCCATCATTTTGATAGCTATATTTCATACCTGATAGAAAGCTGCCTATGCAGAGGTTGTACCAATTTGTTTCAAGCAAGCTTTTTCTCTACATTCTCATCAGTACTGAAGTATTATCTTTTTTTTTTTTTTTTTTTTTTTTTCTGAGAGGGATCATTGCTCTGTCGGCCCAGGGCTGTAGTGCAGTGGGCAATCTCAGCTTGCTGCAACCTCTACTCTCCCAGGTTCAAGCAATTCTCCTGCCTGAGCCTCCCGAGTGGCTGGGGATTAAGGCATGGCATGTGCACCCATACAGCGCTATTTTTGTATTTTTGGTAGAGAGGGGGTGTCACCATTGTGGCCAGGCTGATCTTAACTCCTTACCTCAGGTGGTCTGCCACTCCACCTTCCAAAGTGCCTGGGATTACAGGCGTGAGCCACTATGCCTGGCCTAAGTATTATCATTTTTTAATACCTTGCCTATTCCATAAAAGAAAAATTCATCCCATTGTTTCAATATACTTTTCTCTGACAGGATATATTTTCACACATTTACTGACAGCCTAATTTTTCTCTGATGTGAATTCTCTCTGTGCCCTTTACCATCCTGGGACCATGTGGTGAGAGACTGGGGAAATAATGTAAAAGAAAATAAGCAAACACATTACTTTTCTCCCTACCTCTCTACCTTGAGCCACTGACAGGTTCTTCCTGTGGCCCCAGCAGGCCAGCCATGGCTCCGGCTCCCGACTGCCCAGCCTCTCCGGCTCAGGGGAAGTGGTGGCTCCTGCTGCCCCGAATCTCTGAGCTGCTCCTGGGCCCTGCTGAAGCTCAGCTCTTCCAACACCTACGGAATTCACTCCCTGTGTCACATCCTTCTGTTTAATGCCCAAATCAGTTTTTGTTTTCGTAACTGGATCTCGAGTCTTATATGATCTATGCCCATTTTTAACTAGGGCTATTTAACTTTGCTTATTAAATTATAAAAACATTTTATGCATTAGGGATAATAAGTCTCTATCATATATTTTACAAATATATTTTCCCAATTGGTTAATTACCTTTAAATTTTGTCAAATTTATGGACAATTGTACCTTACAGAAATTTAATTTTTGAGGTACATTCCAGTAATTTTTATTTTTTCATTTTTATTCTTTTTATTCTTAGAAAGTCCTTTCTTATCACTGAAATAAGCACTTACACTATCTATGCTCTTTTTTTTTTCTTTTTTTTTTAAATCCATTTGGAATATATCTTGGGTATAGTGTGAAGCAGGTATCTGTTTTCCCTCAGATTTCAAGTGGATTTACTAAATGTAGATCTAGTAGTAAAAGTTCCTCTATACTATTTTTCTTCTCTGTATTTCCTTACAACACACAAATGCCAGAACTCATCCACACTCCTATAAAGCGTGGACTCCTACCTTTTTCTCAAAAACTTTTGTACTTTTATTTATCATCAATCCCTTTATGTTTCAGCCTTTCATTTCTTAAATTTTTCTTTTGAAATATTTAATATAATTTATGATTCAATATAATCTACTTGCACACTATATATCAATCTAGTTAACAGGTCCTAGGACCTACCTAACTAGAAAACTACGAATTACTAGATTACCAGCCAGGCACGGTGGCTCACACCTGTAATCCCAGTACTTTGGGAGCCTGAGGTGGGTGGACTGCTTGAGCCCAGGAGTTCAAGACCAGCCTGGGCCACATGGCAAGACTCCATCTCTACATAAAAAAATATAAAAATTAGCTGGGTGTGGTGGTGCACACCTGTAATCCCAGCTACTCAGGAGGCTGAGGTGGAGGGTCACCTGAGCCCAGAAGGTCAAGGCTGCAGTGAACCAAGATCATGACATGGCATTCCAGCCTGGGTGCCAGAGCAAGATCCTGTCTCAAAAGCAGAAGACGTAAAATAAAGAAAAGGGAAGGGAAAGGGAAAGGGAAAGGGAAAAGGAAAGGGAAAGGGAAAGGAAGGGAAGGCAACCAATGACCTGCATCTACTTAGTGGCTCCTCCCTGACACATTCCCAGATGCCCCACTGCCCATAACAATCACTAGACTGAATTTTATGGTTATCATTTTCTTGTTTTTCAAAATAGAATTTTATCTCATATTTATATGAGTCTAAACAACATGCTGTCTAGCTTTATTTCTAGGTTTATAAAAATTGCATTAAACCATATGTACTTTTCTGAGAACTTGAATCAGGTTTAAAAAAAAAAAAAAGCCATGGGGCCAGAAACTAGTTTTGCTACCTCCACAGGAGACCCAAAATATAAGGGTAGCAAAACTGCTGTGAAAACTGTTACTTTTATTACTATTATTATTATTTTTTCTATTTTGAGACAGGGTCTCGCTCTGCCACCCAGGCTGGAGGGCAATGGTGCAGTCACGGCTCAGTGCAGCCTTGACCTGTCAGACTCAAGCCATCTCCCACCTCAGCACCCCCCCAGGAGCTGGGACCATAGGTGCGTCTCACTATGTTGCTCAGACCCAGTCTTGAACTCCTGTGCTCAAAGTGCTGGGATTATAGGCATATACCACCATGCCCAGCCACTTTTATTATTAATGATTGATTTTTTCATTTAGTAAATATTTATTGAGTACTTATTAAGGCCATGAACTAAGCCAGGTGATAAGAGATTTTAAACCCACTTTTAAAACTCTTTATTTTTTAGCCAGGCACGGTGGCTCATGCCTGTAATCCCAGCACTTTGGGAGGCCGAGGCAGGCGGATCACCTGAGGTCGGGAGTTTGAGACCAGCCTGACCAACGTGGAGAAACCCTGTCTCTACTAAAAACACAAAATTAGCCAGGCGTGGTGGCAGGCGCCTGTAATCCCAGCTACTCAGGAGGCTGAGGCAGGATAATCACTTGAACCTGGGAGGCAGAGGTTGCAGTGTGCTGAGATTGCACCATTGCACTTCAGCCTGGGCAACAAGAGTGAAACTCTGTCTCAAAAAAAAAAAAAAAAAATCTTTATTTTTTTCATTTACTCCTCAGTCATATGTGGGCTTAGTACGATAGACCCTTGACTTGAAAATATATCTTTTATAGATTTCTAAATTTTACAAATTTCTCAATTTACTCCCAGGGTAGCTCCAACTGTCCAACACAAATGTAAGGACAAACATCCAACATCAGCACATGGTACGTAGCAGCTCACACACCTGCTCTACTAACATAAGATATCAACACAAAGAAAAGTGTAGTACAAATTAAGTCATATACCCCAAAAGACAGTAGTAAAAATGCAACTTAAAACTCGAGTTTTTAAAAGTATGTGAAAGAAAAGTATGCTAAAGCCCTGAACACCTTTGGCTGCTTTCCCAATACACCTACTTTTGCTTAAGGGCCTGAGTCCGACTCTTTTGACGGTATGAAGCTGAGGCAAAATCCACAAAAATTCCACAAACGGAGGCTCTGGAAGGGGAACTGCTTGTATCTGTATGAGGGAGAAAAACACTATTTTTGCAACACTGCAATATGTCTTCCAAGCAAAAAAATATCCGGAGTAAAACAATTATAGGCGTATATAACAATTATAGTCAATAAACCCTTCAACTAATGACAAACATCTTCCATAAGCATTTAAGAGATCTCTCTTGCTTATTTCATCTAAAACTTTCAGGCAACAAAGCAAAATTTACTGATAATCTATTGTATGTATCACTCACACTATTAAAGAGTTTTAGAAATACTTAAGAATGCACAAAAGATGCAGTTCTAGGCCCATTCTGCAAAAAAAACCAAAGATTATCTTTTAGTAAGGGAAGTGGAACAAGGGCATACAAAATTGCTAAAAAACAGAAACAAGTGCAAATTAATATTGAATCAATTACTTAATATGTCAAAGGGCACAAAACAAAAGAGAATGCAGGCATGAGCTTCCTCAGAAGAATTTCTAAAATTTCTGAAGATGTGACTAGATTATTAAATTGTCAGGCTGATGGAAAAGGTTCATATTAAATAAGAATGAACAACTTGGCCAGGTGTGATGGCTCATGCCTATAATCCCAGCCCTTTGGGAGGCTGAGGCAGGCAGATCACTTGAGGGCTGGAGTTCCAGACCAGCCTGGCCAATGTGGCAAAATCCCATTTCTACTAAAAATACAAAAATTAGCCAGGTGTGGTGGCGGGTGCCTGTAGTCCCAGCTGCTCGGAAGGCTGAAGCAGAAGAATCGCTTCAATCCAGGAAATGGAGGTTGCAGTGAGCAGAGATCACGCCACTGTACTCCAGCATGGGAGACAGAGTGAGACTCTGTCTCAGGGGAAAAAAAAAAAAAAAGACAGACAAGAACAAACAACTCCATCCATAATCCTTAGTAATGGACACAAACCATTCCTCAATCCACCTCTTTCCCCCTAAGGATTTCTATGGCTTCCTGTACATACTTACCTGCATATTTGTTTGTATATTTATTTCTACTGTATCTTACTGTCTTTTCATTCCTTTTGGATATCGGTTTGCACTTGTCCCACTGTCTTACAGTTTTATGAAACTCTCACAGCCCTTTCCCACACATTATCTCATCTGATCTTCACAACAAAGCTTGCAGGCCAGTGATGCAGAGGGTGTGGCTCTGGAGGATGCCTGTCTGGGTCAGGGGCCTGAGCTCAAGTCCCAGCACTGCCCGCTACTTGCTTCATGACCATGGGTTACTTCACCTCTGCATCTCAGGTCCCTTACTGTCGGACATCTGCTGTACAGGATGTGGTAAGGACCACGGCAGGCCACGTTTCTGAACAATTACAAAGCACCACACAGACATTTTAAGATGTGGCTGTTTTTAAGAATGAGAAAACGTTTAAAGTTACAGAATTAAGACTTGAATAAAGACATCCCTGGAACAGAGCCCACACCTCTGTGCAAGGCATCAGCGCTCAGCAAAGACTCCTTCACTGACCAAGTGGACCATTTACCTTTTGGAAGTGTACATAGGCTTTCCAACACCATGGTGTAACTTCAGTGCATGGGAAAAAGTCATTTACCAAATGGTTTCCTACTGCCCCAAAAAAGGATAAGGTGTGCAGTTTATAACCAAGTAGTCTAAGCACCACAGGGTGCAGCAGGGTATAGCCAAGGAGGACACAGAAACCAAACGGTACCGGCTGCTTGATGAATTCCACAGAACAGCAGCGGATGGTGCTTAGCACTCAGAACGTGCCTGCCACTCCTTTAAGCAACTTCCATGTTTAGCTTGTTTAATCTTCACAATAACCCTAAAGAAAGTCTGAGGCTCATTTCACAGTTAAGGAAAATGAGGCACAGAGAGGTTAAGTAACTGCCCAAGATCACACAGCTAGTCAGTTATCTGAAACCCTGGGGTCAGCACGGCTCCGTGATTCCTGCTTCAGCACAGACCACGACATCAGTGCTGTGCTAGCCTTTATGACCGTCCACCGGTGCCAGCTCAACGTGAAACAGGGCCAAGAAAGCAGCTCCAGCTTTGTATATGGCAGTGAGTAACTCCTTCAAATAAGAAATACGCCAAAAATAATCTCTTATATTGAGAGCTGTAAATTCTAATCTTGTAAATGAGGCTAATGAAGAAATAACACTAAGCATAAATGTAGAAAATGAGTAACAAAAAAAGGTTATTCATAGATCTGCTAAAAAAACCAGTAATGTTAAGAATAAAATCCTGCTCACTTCTCAGCAACTCCAGAGCAGACAAGCTTTAATGCTGTCAGGAAATCCTGTGTGTTGGTGGCACACAGACCCTCCCTGTGAGCAGCGCTACTCCACGGGCAACTGAGGGAAACAGTCCCTGAGCCTCAGCCGGGCAATAGGGCTGAAGAAGGGGCAGATCCTTACCTCTACCAGGACAGGTGCCCTGTTGCTATAAGTTTAAAGAACGCTCTATCAGCACTGCCCAGCTGAGTTCTGCCCTCTCTGTAGCAGGCACAAAATGTGAGACAAAGAATCATTCTGCAAAACCTTCATTTGTATTAGTGCATCATATTAATTACTAACTATAATTAACTGCATTACTGAATATTTTACTAATAAAGTAGTATGTCATCAAATAATATTTTAACATTATCCTATTTTACCCTCAGTGCCCATGTTTTATCAGAAAGTCATAGTTGTCCTTTAAAGCGATTTGAAACGTTAATTCCTACTCTTACAAGTAACATTATATCCTGATGCTAAGAATTTGGAGAAAAAATACATTTCTAAATTTAATTTAAAAAGGTCCTTGTAGGAAAAAAGAATGAATCAAGAGCATGCTTCGTGTCAGGCTCAGTCTGACTGTGTCCCAAGACTTGACAGGCACCTCAAACCCTCAGTCACCACGTGCCTCATGAAGGCACTCACTGGCGGACACTGCCACACCTCCAGGGAAAACCATGATGATTCCTCTGTGGAAACTCAATAAGCACATCATCAGGAAAAATAAGAGCATGTGCTCACAGATGGATAAAACGCTGGTTGCAAAGAAAAAACAAGCCAGGCTGCCCACTGAGGAGGGCCACAGTATCCTCAGCTCCCTCTGGAGAACAGGAGCATCAGTGCTCACTGAGTGGGGCCACAGCGCCCTCAGCTAACCTAAGGCCTGGGCGCTGAGCAGAATAGTGATGTGCAACTTCTCTGTGTAAGAGAATTCTTGATGTGCTCGTGCTCAAGTCTTCGGGGGGCCTCCTATGTGGTAGCTGCAAGGGCACAGCACCACCAGCATGCCGAAGATGTTACTTCTCTGCCCACCTTATTAGAGCAGGCCTGTGTGTGATGGCATCTGTGAGGGCTCAGTACACAGAGCCCTAAGAGCATGGACACCATCAGTAGCATTGATTTGTTTACCTGTCCTGGGCTCCTTTTCAAATTCTGTTCTACCTTGCTTCTGAAACAGTTTCAAAGATAACTTGCCAATCCTTTCATTTTCTGCATTAATAGCTCTTTGAATTTCTTGTATTTCCTTTTTTTGAGCTAGAGGAAGTTCTTCCATTTTTTCTCTTGACTCAGGTTCATTACTGCTTTCATCATCATCACTATCACAAACCTCAAAGTCATCTTCGTAGTCCTGCAAACAATAACAATCTTTTGGAACGCTTTAAGACAAATTGACTTTACGTTATCACTCATACTGAACAAAACATGACAGCTTATAACTTAAGACAGACAATGTCCTTATTACAGCTAAGATATTTATAGTTCCCTGACTTTAATGTTTTTGAAGATACATCTATACAAACTGCTACCTTTATTTCTCTAAAAATAAATCACACAATACAGAACCATACACAGAAGACCTATCAATTACCACCACATGCAAACACGTGTACTGAGAATGTGAAAGTGTGTGTATTTTTATAGCTACCTACATACACACTTTTTATGCAGTGCACTTAAATATGAGTTAAATTATAAAATCATTTAATTACATCATATTGGTAAGTATTGGTAGAAGTATAGCAAGCATTTTATAGGTAATAGCTTGACCTAAATCAAACCTAGATAGATTCTGAGTATTAGGATTTAATAAAAAGCATAAAAAGGGCATCAAATTTACTATATATAAGCTGATGTTTAAGAATAAATGATTTTTTTTTTTTTTTTTTTAAGGAAAGTTTTAACTTTTATACATACTTCAAAATCATCTTCACAACTGGCTGTATATGCATCAGCTCTAGCATGTTCTAAATCAGTTTCTTCCTTTTCAATTTCCTAGAGGTAAAAATCAAACATGAAACCAAAAAATTCAATCATAAACTTGAATATTGCAAATAGGCTGGGAAAACATATGTTTTCTGAGATTCATTTGATGTTGCTAATTTGAAACTCTTAAGTATTTTTAAAACTAATATAATGTTAAATTCCTTTAAGAAATACCCTTGCTAACTTATAGGTAGGACCAAAAACAGAATACAGTAAACATTCTTTTCAGGAAACCTCTGTAATTCTGGTGGCTGTAGTTCTGTAATTCTGTAATTCTGGTGGCTAAAATTTGTTTCAGTGTTTTACAGATAAACTTCAAACGTGCAGCAATCCATTTCTTCTCCGTGAATATATTCCCCGCTGAATAGTGCTCAGCTGATCTACACCATTAAAGACAGAGAAATAGGCCAGGCACTGTGGCTCACACCTTTAATCCCAGCACTTTGGGAGGTCAAGGCAGGCAGATTACTTGAACTCAGGAGTTGGAGACCAGCGTGGGCAACATGGCGAAACCTCATCTCTACCAAAAATACAAACAATTAGCTGGGCATGGTGGTGTGCACCTATGGTCCCAGCTACTCCGGAGGCGGAGGTGAGAGGACTGCTTGAGCCTGGGGGGCAGAGGCTGCAGTGAGCCAAGATCGCGCCACTGCACAATCCAGAAGAAATTACAAGGCATACTAGAAAGCAGAAAATACAGTTTGAAGAGACAGAGCAAGCACCAGTTCCAGACATGGCAGGGATGTTGGAACTGTCAGAACAGGAACTTAAAACAACTATGAGTAACTTCCTAAGAGCTCTAATAGATAAAGTTCATAGCATGCAAGCAGAGAGATGGAAAGCCTAAGAAAGAACCAGAACGGAAAGTTCAAGGTCAAAAACAACAGAAACAGAAGTGAAGAACAACTTTGATGGGCTCACTAGTAAACTGGACACAGCTGAAGAAAAAAGTCTCTGTGCTTGATGATACCTCCACAGAAACCACCAAAACTCAATAGCAAAGAGAACAAAAAGCGGGAAGGAAAACAAAACAAAACAAAAAAAACCAGAACAAAATATCCAAGAACTGTGGGACAACTGCAAAAGGTATTCACGTGTGTAATGGGGATGGCAAAAGGAGAGAAAGGAACAGAATATTTGATAAAATAATGACTGAGAATTTCTCCAAATTGATGTCAGACACCAAACCACACATCCAGGAAGCTCATAGAACACCAACATCAATGTCAAAAAATCTACACGTAGGCATATTATATCAAAACTACAGAAAATCACAGATAAGGACAAAATCCTAAAAGAAGCCAGATGGGGGAAAAAAAAAACTTTACTGAGGAACATAGATAAGAATTACAGGCCAGGCATGGCGGCTCACACCTATAATCCCTGCACTTTGGGAGGCTGAGGCAGGTAGATCTTCTGAGGTCAGGAGTTTGAGACTAGCCTAACCAACATGGTGAAACCCCATCTCTACAAAAACACAAAAATCAGCTGGGCACGGTAGTGCTCGTCTATAATCCCAGCTACTCAGAAGGCTGAAGCAGGAGAATCACTTGAACCTGGGAGGCAGAGGTTGCAGTGAGCTGAAATCACACCATTGCACTACAGCCTAGGCAACGAGAGTGAAACTCCATCTCAAAAAAAAAAAGGATTACATTCAACTTCTCAGATATCATGAAGCAAGAAGACAGCATAGAGAAATGTTTAAAGTACTGAGAGAAAAATATTCACCAGCCCAAAATTACACATATACTCTACAAAATTATCCTTCCAAAGTGAAGGAGAAATAAAGACTTTCAAACAAAATTGAGGGAATTTGTTGCCAGTAGACCTGTCTTGCAAGCAACATAAAAAGAAGTTCTTCAGAAAGAAGGTGTATTAGTCCGTTTTCACGTTGCTGATAAAGACACACCCGAGACTGGGAAGAAAAAGAGGTTTAATTGGACTTCCAGTTCCACACGGCTGGGGAGGCCCCAGAATCATGGCAGGAGGCAAAAGGCACTTCTTACATGGTGGCAGCAAGAGAAAATGAGGAAGAGGCAAAAGTGGAAACCCCTGATAAACCCATCATATCTCATGAAACTTATTCACTATCACAAGAATAGCACGGGAAAGACCAGGCCCCATGATTCAATTACCTCCCCTGGGTCCCTCCCACAACATGTGGGAATTCTGGGAGATACAATTCAAGCTGAGATTTGGGTGGGGACACAGCCAAACCACATCAGAAAGAAAATAATATAGGTCAGAAACGTGGGTCAACATAAAAAAAAGAAAAGTATGGAAGAAAAAATAAATAAAGGGAAACAACTTTTCCTTTTCTATTTCTTAATTGATCTAAACAGTTTGTTCAGAATAATAGTAACAAAAATGCATTCAATTACATATGCTTAGGTATTTATTCGTGTGTGTGTGTGTGTGTGTGTGTTTGTGTACGCATATGTGTAGTTAGCCCTCCTTATCTGTGGGTTCTACATCCATGGATTCAACCAATCACAAACCAAAAATATTTGGAAAAATAAAAATAAAAAATAATACAAATTTTAAAATACAGTATAACAACTATTTACGTAGCATTTACATTGTATTAGGTTTTATAAGCAATCTAGAGATGACTTAAAGTACATGGAAGAACATGCATAGGTTATATGCAAATCCTATGCCATTTTATTTAAGGAACTTGAGCGTTTACAGATTTTAGTATCCACAGGGGGTCCAAGAACCAACCCTGTGCCAATACCAAGGGATAACATGTTTATGTCGGCTTATACACAAGTAAAATGAATGACAGCAAGGATACAAGGAATGGGAGTGGTACAGTCTTATTTAAAAGTGGACTTGGATTGATTGTAAATGTATTAAAACCACTTTAAAAAGTTTAAAAAAAAAGAACCTTTAACTGATATGCTAAGATAGTAGAGAAAACAGAATCATAAAATGTTCCATTAAAACCACAAAAGGCAAAAAAAGAATGAAAGACAAAAACAGGAATAACAAGGGCAACAAATAAAAAATAGTGACAAATATGGTAGACACTAATACAATATATCAGTAATCACTTTGAACATCAATGATCTACATGTACCAATCACAAGACAGAGATTGTCAGAGAGGATCAAAAAACAAGATCCATCTACTTATTGTCTTCAAGAAATCCAAATGAAGAAAAATATACCATGCTCACGCTAATCAAAAGAAAGCAAAAGTTATTATCTTAATTTCTGACACAGTAGACTTCAAAGTAAAGAGAGTCAACATGAATAAAGAAGGGCATTATGCAATGATAAAGATGCCAATTTTATGTCTTTAATGAAATACATAACAATCCTTAATATGTATTAAGTTTGTGTTATCCTTAATATGTATTATTAAGTTTGACAGAGTGTCAAACTATTTAAGTCAAAAACTAATAGAACTGCAAGAAGAAATAGATGAATCCACTATTACAGCTGGAGACTTCAACATCTCCCTATCAGAAATGGACAGATCCAACAGGCAGAAAATGAGTAAGAACATAGCTGAACTCCACGGCACCATCAGTGAACTGGGTATACGGGGCAGCTTTAGACTGCTTCACCCAACAGCAGCAGAATACACATTCTCATCAAGCTCGCATATAACACTCACCATGATAGCCCACATTCTGGGCCATAAAACACATCTTAACAAATATAAAAGAACAGAAATTATACATCTGCTCTCAGAGCACAATGGAATCACATTAGAAATCAGTAACAGAAAAATAACTGGAAAATTCCACAATATATGAAGATTAAACAACATATTTCTAAATAACACAGAGGCTCCAAAACACATCTCAGAAATGTAAAAGCATTTTGAACTAAATAAAAATGAAAACAAACTTATTGGAATTTGTGGAATGCAAACAAAAGCAGTGCTTAGAGGGCAATTTAGAGTGTTGAATGCATATATTAGAAAAGAAGAAAGATCTAAAATCAATCATCTAAGTTTCGAGCTTGGATTAACTAGAAAAATAAGAGCAAATTAAATCTGAAGTAAGCAGAAAAAAGAAATATTAGAGCAGAAATCAATAAAATTAAAAATAGGAAATCAACAGAGAAAAATCAATGAAATCAAAAGTTAGCTTTTTTGAAAATATTGATAAATCAGTACACTTCCAGGCCAAGCTAACTAAGGGAAAAAGAGAGCAGACCCAAATTATTAGCATCCGAAAAGTCAGAGGGGACATCACTGCAGATCCCATGACGTTAAAAGGATAATCCAGTAATACCACGAACAGCTCTATGCCCATAAATCTGATGACCTAGTAAAATGGGCCAGTTTCATGAAAGACACAGTTGCTAAAACTCACACTAGAAGAAACAGAGAATTTAATAGGCATATACCTCTTAAAGAAATCGAGTCAATAATAACCTTCTAAAAAAGAAAACACAAGGCCCAGCTAGTGCTAGAAAGCACTAGCACTGGTGAATTCTACCAAACATTTAATAAAGAAATTATACAATTCTTACCTGGGCACAGTGGTTCACACCTGTAATCCCAGCACTTTGGGAGGCCAAGGCAGTAAGATCACTTGAGCCCAGGAGTTCAAGACCAGCCTGGGTGAGATCTTAAGACCCTGCCTCTACAAAAAATTTAAAAACTAGCTGGGCATGGCGGCTCATGCCTGTAGTTCCGGCTACTCAGGAGGCTGAGGTGGTAAGATTGCTTGAGCATGAGAGGTTGAGGCTACAATGAGCCGTGATCACCCTACTGCACTTGAGTCTGAGCGACAGAGTAACACCCTGCCTCAAAAAAATAAAAGATAAAAAATAAAAAGAATCATACGCCACAATCAGCCGGCATTTATCCCAAGTATGCAAGCCTGCTTCGACATTCAAGGATCAATTAATGTAACCCATCAAACCAACAGGCTAAAAGAGAAAAACCATGAGATCACATCCATAAATGGAGAAAAAACATTTGACAAAATCCAACAACCATTAATGATAAAACTCTTAGTAAACTAGGAATAGAGAGAAATTTCCTCA